CGGGAAGAGCGCAATGATGGTGCCAACTTGGGCCAGTGAAGCAACGTCCTCCACAACTAGACTGAAGAACAAAAAAAACCCCAGCAACTTGTCTGTTCCCCTTCCCCCAATTCCCCAGCACTGTTCCCATTCCCCAAAATCCCCAATAAAAATCTTTAAAAAAAAAAAAAGATATACATGCTCCAATGTTCATTACAGCTTTATTTACAGTAGCCAAAATATGGGATATTTTTAAAATCTGATTTTCTGCCTTAGCTACTCTTTTGCGTTTACTTGTACATTTGAATATTGAGGCTGTTCCTGTGCCTTGGGTAGGTACAGTGTGGTCTCTGTAGCTGATGGCGTCTGACCCCTAGTTTTCTTCAGCACCTGTGCCCTTCTCTGGTTTGATTGAAATGAGGAGGAAACTATTCCAGAATGAGAAAGGCTGTCATGCCAGGAGACCCTGTTGTTAGTTGGTATCATGATCCACATTTGGGAGAGAGAATTTCTAGTGTCTGTGTTCAGCTGTCCTGTAAAAGCTCACTTGAAGTGCAGTGAGGTGATGAGTGCCTAGCGCATTTTTGGATATTGATGCAATAAAAACGATGCAGCCTTGGTTTGGAATTGAGATAAAAAGTTCATGTTAAAATGAATTATCACAAATCCTTGAACGTAGCATCAATTTTTCGGAACAATTGAAATTGTTGTTTCCTGTGGCATTTCATCCCTTTACTATTCAGATGATTGGTTTCATCTTGGCAAAAACAGAGCCCTGGGATAGGTGTTTCCTAAAAGAGGATACAGTTTCTGTTGTGACCCTTCTGGCAGAAGGGGTGGATTGGTGGACTGGGAAGAGAGGGTATCAAGGCCCATGAACAGAAGGCATAGATGGGGTCATAGCTACTGTGGCAGCTAGGTGTGCGGTTGTAGTGGTTATGCGTGCCAACGAGCCAGGTCTTGCAATGTGTAAATGTGAACTTGAGGAGCATGTGGTTGGGCTTTCAGGAGGCAGTGTGCGGAGTTGCCTGTTTCTCTAGTTTTCGTCCACTTTACTCAGTGCTTCTCACTCATGTTTCTGCAAGGATTTTTCATTGTATTACTGAAAATGGCAACATCCCAACAGCCTTGATATCTTATCACCTGCCAAGAAATCTGATTCACCCCCGTTCTCACTCAGCTGTGGGCAGAATTGCCCTGTGGTCGGTTCATTGTTTGAAAGTGGTACATTAAATGATAAACTTGACCTAGATATCTTTGTGTTACAGACTCAAGGGATGCTTCAAAATTTCTTTTCTTAAGGAAAATTTTACACGCTAAAAAACACAGTCATTTTTGAGCCTGTTGTCATTGAGATTTTTTCTATATTGTCTTTATCGTGTTTTGTTAGGAGAGAACTATGAAATCAGCTCTACAGTGTTAAAAATTATGACATTTATCTTGAGATGTCATAATAGATTATACATGAACTATTAGAGAAACTACCATTTCGTGAAGTTAAAATGACACAGTATTTAGCTTGTTAAGTACATTTTGATCACTTCTGGAGAATTTATTTTTCTATTTCTGTTCCATAAGTACTTGTCTGTTTAAAATAATATTATTATAGGCATGTAGGTGAGTTGTTATTTTTCTTAAGGAATTGTTTTTTCATCTCTTTAAAGAGATCTAGAGGAAGGAAAAAAGAGCTCCTTTTTAAAATTTCTGTTTATTTTACTGCAATGCAGCTTGATTTTTCTCTACTGAAAAATGGGTTAATGGTAACATTTTATTCAATAAAAAGTTAATTAGCTCACCAGAGATATATTTTGATAAGCTCTTCTAATTCTTAGGCAAACTAAAACTTGAGAATGGATCACCTAAGGGGTAAAGTATAAATGTTTTTGGACATTCTAGATTTTTCACTGTTTGGTCTTAGTCACTACAAACTTATAGCCAGAGCAGCTCTTACACTGTCCCCAAGGGTGCTGAACCCTTTCCCACATCTTACGTTGCCTTACAATGGGAGACAGTCTCCCCTTCCTGTTATTCTTAGAGCACCAAGTAGTCTGGTATTGACTAGTATTGCCCTGGTGACTCACCTGCACTTATTGAGATTCCTTTGGTAAGCCAGTCATTTCATTCATTTCTTTGCAATGATCTTTCCCAGCTGTGTCTGGTACATACTGTGGGGAAATGGAGCATGTCTTTCCCCGTATTTTCACTTCCATATTTTTGCTCTTCCCTTGGAACTTTGCCATCCATCAAAATCTGGTGACAACTTCAAGACCCATCTTTTTACCCTCCTCCATGAATCTTTATTTTCTCCAACTATGACATTTGAACAATAGTATGCAAGAAAAGTTAGAGGGAAAACAAGATGAAAGTAGGGAGGCAAGTCAGGAGAGTAGCTCAGGCAGTAATTTACCAGGATGTAGGCTACCTAGGCCAATGGAGGTATGAAAAATATGAGTTTACAAATATTACAAATGAACTGTCAGCATTCATCCTAATTGTGATTGATTAGGGACATAGAATTCATTCATTCAGAAAATATTTATGTAATACTAATTATGTGAAAAGTGGTGAGGAAAATACAAGGTCTGGCAATTAAGTTTGCAAACTTGCCACCGTGCGCTTACATTGGCAGCACTGTGCAAACAGCCTGGTAAGGTTTCACAACCTTGGTATATCAGTGTCTCACAGCTGTGTTCGTGTCGATGTGTGGTGGTGTCTTGCTGAGTGGAGTTCATTATTATTGTATGTTTTTGTGTGCCATCGTGAGAATGTCTGAGCTTATATTAGAGCAACTAACAAACATTAAATTTGTTGTTAAACTTGGCAAACGTGGAAGTGAAATCAGGGACATGTTAGTCCATGTTTATGGGGATAATGCCATGAAGAAAACAGCAGTGTACAAATGGATTAAACGTTTTTCTGACGGGAGAGAACACATCACTGATGAAGAGAGGTCAGGGCGGCCAGTAACGAGCAGAACTGAGGAAAACATTGTAAAAATTCATCGAATTCTGTGACAAAATCATCGGGCTGACTGTGAGAAGCATAGCAGACCAAGTAAACATCAATAGAGAAACAGTTAGGAAAATCTTAACTGAAAACCTTGTCATGAGAAAGGTGTGTGCAAAAATGGTCCCAAAGGAGTTCACCAATGAACAAAAGCAAAGGAGAGTCGAAGTTTGCCGAGACCTTTAGGAGAGGCAAGACGATGTTTTGGGCCATGTTATCACTGGTCATGAAACATGGGTGTACCAATACGATCCTGAAACAAAGCATCAAAGGGCATAATGGAAGTTGGCCAATTCTCCATGACCAAATATGTTCCATCAGTCCAAATCAAGAGTCAAAATGGTGTTGCTAACATTTTCTGATACCAGAAGGATTCATTCATTATGTATTTTTGTATCAACTGGACAGTTAACCAAGTTTACTATTTGGAAGTGCTGAAAAGGCTGCGTGAAAAAGTTAGAGGAAAACGACCTGAACTTTTTGCCAACGATTCATGGCTCTTGCATCACGACAATGCACCAGCTCACACGGCACTGTCTATGAGAGAGTTTTTAGCCAGTAAAGAAACAACTGTATTGGAACACCCTCCCTACTCACCTGATCTGGTCCCCAGTGAGTTCTTTCTTTACCTGAAGATAACGGAAATATTGAAAGGAAGACATGTTGATGACATTCAGGACATCAAGGGTAATATGACAGCTCTGATGGCCATTTCAGAAAAAGAGTTCCAAAATTGCTCTGAAGGGTAGACTAGGCACTGGCCTAAGTGCATAGCTTCCCAAGGGGAGTGCTTCTAAAGTGACCTTAATGATATTCAGCAATGAGGTATGTAGCACTTTTTCTAGGATGAGTTCGCAAACTTAATTGTCAAACCTCATAGACATGTGACCCACAGTCTCTTTGGGGAGACTGTTCATCAAATCATCACACAGTAAATATAAAAACCATCATTTAAATGATATTTAGTAATTACTATAAAGGAAAAGTACAGGTTGCAATGAGCTTACATTAGGGTTATCTGTCTGAGAGAAGAGTCTGGTCAGAAGGGCTTTCTTCAGGAGCATGTATTTATGCTGACATGTAAAGAGTGCAGAGGCATCCTTAACTATGTGAAGACAGATACAAAAAACAGTCCTTGTAGAATGAGCAGAGTATGCAAAGGTGCTAGATTGGGCAGAACTAGATATGTTTAGGGAACCTTAGTAAGGTTAATGTGATTGCAAAGAGCCACGGAGTGGCAGGGAAAACACTGACACCGTAGCTAAAGGGAGAGTCCCAAGTTACATGGGTGCAAAGGGTCAGCACAGGTCCAAGGCTACCCTGTTTAAGACTGATTGACTCGAAGAGTGGCATTGTAACGGACAGATATAGATGGAGGACACATTTTCAGGAGACGGTTCAGTTTTAAAGTTTGAGATGCTGATGGGATAGTTTCATTCACCATTGATGACTTGAAATATGGGGTTGGAGTTGATGGAAGTGGATAAAGAAGGAAGGGACAGATTTTAGAATTCTCTATAAAACTGGTAGTTGAAATAGCAAGAAGGGATTTTCTTAGGGAGAAAAGATTTTTAAAAAAATGGAAAATGAGGGGAAAAAGTAACTTTGCAATTACTTATTTCGTGACATCCCTCTCCTTGATCTGTGAGGTTGCCCAGTCATCTTTCTAACTCACAGTTCAAATATCATATTCGATTTTGGCTTTGTGAGACATAGGACATTGACATTGGTATGTAAGATGGTGTTAAGGAACGGATAGGATTTTGATGGACACTTAAAGTCAGGGATGGGAGATTGGAGCAGAGACAGTGGAAGAGAAGAATCTGTCCAAGAACTAAGAGGAAATACCACGATCGTATACAATACCTTCTCAACTAGCAGAGGATGAACCTCCTAGTGGGGCACCATGTTGCCGATAGTAATAGTCCCTTCCCTCTATCTGCTGTGTATGGGAATTCACCACTGGGAGGAATGTGACCTTGGCACTTGTTCTCTACATGGAGTGGTTTAGTACATGTTTTCTCCTAACAAGGTGTTTCAGATGCTTGGGACCAGCTCAAAAGTGAAGGTTCCATGAATAATGCTGTGGAAGGGAAGAGGAGAAGCAACCCCATCAGGATATGTCTAAATTTTTTATTGACATTCAAGACCTTCTGTAGTGTAGCCTTGATGTATGTTTTCAGCCTCCTCTCTTTGCTGCTACACTGCAGCTCCTCTTATTTCTCCACTTTACACCCCCATTATTCACTCTTTCCATCCAGGATTAGCCCCTCACCCACTTCCCCATTTGTTGAAACCTAAGCTTTCATAAAGTCAGGCTCAAATGTCACCTTGCCTGTCAAGACACATTTTAAACAGAACACAGACTTCCCATCCTATACTCACTCTTACATTCCCTGGTTGGTACTCAGTTTTAAACTTTTCTTTAATTTAGTTAGCTGTTGTTTTCATTTTGAGGCTCCTTGAATTTATAAATAATCTTTGAATTTTGTTTCCAACACAGGGCCCCATAAATATCACACCCTTAGTAAATTGTTGAAACTGTGGGGTGGTCCTTATGCCAAATGGTTTAGGAAGGTCCAGGAAAATGAAGACTGAGAGAGTTACCACGAGTTTTAAGAATGGTCTTCTTGAGCAAAATTGTGATATGTGTATGTCAATTGCAAATAGCTAAACCTGTCTTATTTTATTCTTTAGTCATTGGGAAGTAAAAAGCGAAGTGATGCAGTTGTGGGATTAAGACATTCATCAGAGTGTTGACTAGTCAGGTTAATTGATATAATCCCACAGTCTCTTAGATTTACTTTTTTTGTTCATAATATGTAGTAACTATGGTTCTGAAATGGTGCAGCTACAGTTCCTGTTATGGCCAGCAGATGCCTGCAAACACCATAAAATCATTGTGACCAGATTGCTTTAAAGAACGTACTGCTGTTTTTTGGAACTACGTATTGCTGGTCTAGTACAGCTGTTCATATTTGATTCTTTGACTTTTCCTTCCACATGAAGAGAATATTGAAAAGACATTTCACTTGAAATGAGGGAATAATATGTTCCTTTCTGGAGGTATTGACTGTGCATGAGGATATATATTATTTGTACATGTTTGTCATTAAAAACATAGATTGAAATTATGAAGGAGAAGCACTTGTAAATATTGTGCCATTCTTTTTTTTTTTTTAAATAAGATAACGAGAACTTCATTTTAATATGCCTTCTTTTTGTATGTTTTTCTCTAACCAATACAGGAGAAGTATTCGAAAGGAATAATTCCACTTTCTGCTATATCTACAGTACGATCTCAAGGCGACAATAAATTTGAAGTTGTTACAACACAAAGAACTTTTGTTTTTAGGGTAGAAAAAGAAGGTAAGATGGTTTCTTTAAAAGCACTTGGGGACATTAATTTCTGACCAGTCAGAAGGTTAATCAACTGCTATGCTAGAAATGTCAAGAAATCTCTAAATATGTTACTTTAAATAATTTACATCGTACATGAACTTTTTGAATGCCATAAACAAGTTGAGAAGTCATTTTTTGTTCACTATTCTTACATGCCACAAATAGACTCTACTAATTGTCAGGGGCTCTTAAAAATTCTGCGGATACAGCAGTGAAAAAAAGTAAACAAAAAATAAAAAATTAAAAAAAAGTAAACAAAAATCTCTGGCCATATTATGGAACTCGCCTTGCAGCTGCTGTTTTGATAATGCAAAATATTTATTTAATATGCAAAACTCACATTTTTCTGCTAACAGGTTGGTTTTAGGAAAGTTTATGTATGGCAGGTTTTAACTGAACACACAGGCACAGTAATCTAATACAGATTTTGGAGCATCTTTAGTACTTCTTGAACCTTTTCATCTGCATCGTCTGCTACAGGTCTCTTGATGGTCAAAATTGATCTAAAGATGGCATGTCATTTGGGGACAGAGTCTAAACCTTTAAATCTTCTCTGACTTTTTTTTTTGGGGGGGGCGGGGTGGTTGGAGAGGGAAGGAGAGCCAGGAGAGTTAAAAGGTCTCTGTTTTGTACTTTGACTACCAATATATCATTACTATACATCTTACTACATTTAAATAATATAGGTAAGGCTGTCTTCATTCATTAGCTAATTAGAATTTTAAATTATTTTAAAGCCTACTTTTAGCATGGATTATAACTCAACTTGATTTTTAAAAGTACTTCTTGGTACTTAATTATTTGAATAATGGTGATATGGAAAGCTTAGGGAATACTTGACATGAGCCAGGTGACCTACTAAATGCTTCATTTTCACAATAGTTTCATGAGCTATGTAGGTACTAACATTATTTCATTTTACACATATGAGCATTCACCTTTTATAAACTACAAGAGGATTAGCTATTATGGGGCAATATTTGTCTCTTTTAAACTGCTACATTTCTAAAACATATGCTTGGGTATGGTGTATAGAAAACATTCAATAAACATTATGTATTCCTAGAAAGCCTCCTATATTGCTTGGGATAATCAGTAAATGAGTAAGTCTGAGCTGCTGTTCACACTTGGAGCAGCTTTTTTCAAACTGTGAATCACTACCCATTTGTGACATCAACTTAGTGGTTTCTGATGGTACAAAAAAAAAAAAATCCCCCCAAACAAAACAAACAAATGCAATAGAATTAGAAATCCCAAAGTACCTCACTTCTAATAAGTGTAAGTATTGTATTGTGAAACATACCTATGCATATATTGCACACGTGTAATGGAAAAAATGTGTTTTTACTTGATATTAAAATAAAGGTTGAGGGTTTTCTCCTAGAGCAGGGGTTGGCACAGGATGTCCTGTAGCCTAAATCTGACTCACTGCTTGTTTTTGTTAAAATCTCGTTAAGTTAGATCACAGCCACTGCCATTTATGTGTATTGTCACTCTGTGGCTGCTTTTGTGCCTTAGTGGCAGTATTGAGTAGTAGTTGCAGCACAGACTGTATGACCAAGAAAGCCTAAGATATTTACTGTCTGGCCGTTTACAGAAAAAAAAAAAAAAAGAAAAAAGTTTGCCAACCCCTGACCCTGGAGCATTTTACATAGAATTGCTTATACAAGAAGCCACTTTTTAATGGTTTACTGTCTAAACTTCAGAAAGTTGTCCACAGTTGTGATACTTGATATGGAACTTATATTTGAAATCACAATTTCCTGTCTTGCCGTTTCTCAAAACACATGGCTTTGCTGCTCTCAACTGGCTGTCATGACAATCTCTCCTTATGCTTGGCTTCCTGCTCCCCCGAAGGTGACTGCATGTTTCTTTGAGGTGCCTGTCACCTTCCCCTTGGCCTCTCTAAGTGAATTTCACATATCCCTGTGTTTTAAGATAGACATAGTAAATAGAGCTTCCAACTTGTGTGAAAACCTGCTTAGCTGTATTTATTTGCTACAGTTAAAAGTGAAACAGACACAGTTTATTTAAGTAGATAGAATGTATCAACCCACACATGTTTAAAAGCTCCATGTTTACAATTGACCATTAAGTCCTTCTGTGATACACAGTTCATCTTGGTGATAGAAATTTAGTATAAGAATTTCATTAACTCTTATATAAATTATTATTTGTTAAATAAATCTTAGGTCTTAAATTTTTGAAAGTATGAAAATACTGCTTACGTGAAAACTGAGACTCTATCCACATGGAATTACTTGAATAAGTTTTTTTCATTGAAAGTCATTTTTGCATAGTAACAACTCACATTTTAAGATAAGTATATGTAGAGATGTGTATGTATTCATGTATGTGTATATGTATACATATATATGCATACCTGTATACAAATATGTATATAAATGGTATATGTGTGTCTATATATTTACTGTGGAACTTTCAACAAGACACTAAATGTTTTATTAAGTGTTTTTTCCTCTCATATATACAAATGGTTGACTATTTTTTATTTTGTGGGCATTGAGAAATTCACTATAGTGGCTTATGAAATAGTTGACTAAATGAGCTTTAAGGCAAATTAAACTTTGCTTCAATCTAGTGAAGAAGTAAGGTCAAAGTTTAGGACACAAAGGGGAAATGGTTTCGCCTCCTGACAGAGATGAATCCTTCATTTTTGGTGAAAAGGTTTTGAATGACCTATATACAACAGCTACCCTTTGTCTTCCCTGAAACCAGTGTCACTATTTCTAAACTACTGCATCCCGCACTGGCATGGCTAAGACAGGATTACAATTTGGCATCTTTCCCCCTTCCCCCCCAAACACGCACACATTCTCAAAGGCCTCAATTCCCCCAGGTTGCCTAGTGAACTATTCTTTTGCTCTTAGTTGAAAGTGAATTATATTGAAATAATAACATTTTAAAAATACTCTTCCTCACATGGAAAATTTAGTGTTTCCTTTCGTCCTCAAGCATAAACACTGAAACTGGTCAGAGTTATAAGAGCTAACGATGTCTCCATTCCGTCTGTATTCCCCTGGCACTTGTGGTCACACATGCAGATGTGTTACTTCAAAAGGCAGGTGATGTTTTGAGTGGGCGGTTCTCATGGTTAGAAGACGGCTTAAGAATCCTGAGTGGTCATTCCTGTTCCAGGGCCATTTTCAGTGATGGCTCTCAGCCTCTGCTCCCGGCTTCCTGTCCACTTAAGTAAATTCTGGACCCCTCGGGGACAGGCAAGCATGTCACTCTCTCAACTCTGCATCTGGACAACATCATACAGCCCTCCAGTGGCAGCTCGGATACTGCACAGTGTTTTCTTTTGTTTTTTAAGAGAACGCGTGGGATAAGGAACATAAATTCCCCTTAGTTGTACGGGGCAAGCAGACTTACCTGTTTTGAAACTTTCAGTGGTTTTAGAAGCAAGACATGGAACATTTACTATCTGGAGAGAGAGCCAGGGGAATGAAAAGGTCTCCATTGGATACTTTGATAGACTTCTCGCCTTATAATAGGCCACAAACTTGGTGTCATTCTTCAGTCTTTTCCTCTCCTAGATCTCACATCCAGTCCACCAGCAAATCTTATCAGTTTGACTTTCGAAATAGGTCTGGATGCAGACCAATGCTCAACAGCTCTGCTGCTACCACACTGGTACAGGCCACCACGTCTATCAGTGTTATTGTAATAATCTCCCTCTATCGACTGCAGTGATATTTTCAATATAGCTGTCAGAGCGATCATTCAGCAAGAAAGCCGGCTCACGTCAGTCTTTTTCAAATGCTGTACTGTCTTTCCATCTCACTGAGAGTGAAGTACTTACGATGTCCAAAAGCCCCTACCTGCACTGGCCCTGGACTCCCTGTTCTTGTTTCCTTCTGCGCTCTCCCTCACTGACTGCAGTTCAGCCATGGGAACTGTTCGTGAACCTGCCTGCTGTTGCCTTGGCGTCGTGGCACACGCTGCTTGTATTATCCCGGAATGCTTTTCCTCCAGCCATCCTCCTGACTTGTTCGTTGCCTCTACTTCCTTTAGGCAATTTGCTTAACCACTGCTTTCTTTCTCAGGCTTTTTCTGTTGCCGTATGTAAAATAGCACTTCCTATGTCGCTCACCTTGTGCTTTATCCCATTGCACTTGTCCCTATGTAACATTTTTTCTATGTTTTGTTGCCTTTCTCTGTTCACAAGACTGTAAACTCCAAGAGAGTAAGGCCGTGATCTGTCCTGTTCACACTTCCATTCCTGGTGTTCGTAATAGGTCTTGGACTATAGTAGGCACTCAGTCAATATTTGTATGAATGAATGGTGATATATTGATTTCAAGAACAACACTGGTGTGCAAATACGTCCTTCTATAAAAGCTATCATGGGTTATGCTGAAGGATCTTTAGTCAGATTATATTATCCTATCAAAAGCAAGGGTCCCTCTAACCTTTCTTAGATTCTGTTATTAATCTCTTCTACAGCCTTTGCATAGTAGTGCCTAATATAATCCATCCTTTGTTACTAATATTCATGCCTACTGCTAAATCCAGTAGCCCAAAGAATATTGTCTCTCCTGTTGATTTTTTTTCAATTTCCTTTTTTTGGTTCTTGCACCATAGTTGGCAACCTGAAAACCTTAAGAACTAATTTGAGATTTGAGGGAATTACTCTCATCTTTTATTGTCATTTTAGCATAATTACAAGAAACGGGCAATTTTATTTCGCCTACCCTCTTTTTCTTTCTCCAACCTGAAATGTTCTATTTTGAGCAAAGCCATATCTAGATCAGTTAGTGTTCTCAGAAGGAACGGTGCTTAGCACAGTGCTAAGATCAAGATAGACACTCTACAAATATTTGTTATTGGGAAGAATAAAAGTACATTGGTGTGAAGAGCAGGCAGAATTGAGCGTAGCCTGTAGCTTTGCCCAAGGGAAAACCATTTGTTTCGGTGTACTGTGACTCATCAAAGCATATTCCCCACGTCTAAGGATGCACACATGGCACAGCCAAATACCAAATGACACTGGTAATCTAATTTATTGCGTTTGAATCATTCGTGTCATTGTTTATCTCCATTGGCATGGGTAATTAAGAACAAACCCAACGTTCCTATTAATTCCTGATCTTCTTTATGACTCTTTACTTCCTATTAGTAATGAGGCCCTCAGGAGCTAGATAGTTCTTCAAGGCTATAAGGGAACTGTTTGTTGAGATGCAGCCATAATATGCTTACGTTCAACAGATGCAATTGCCAGTTTCAAATCATTTCCTGAGAAACTGAGATATATGCTAATAGTAATCTAGAAGACACACACACACATGTTGGCCCAGTACATAAAATTATCACCTATATTTCAAACTCAGTGACTTATGTGGATTAACACAAACAAACAGATGGAAAACATTATATGTTATTTACTTGCAGGAATACCTTATGTGACACTAATGATCACAAGGAATAGCCAAGTTAAGTAGAAGGTCTGTTCCTATTACTGGAAATGTAGTAAATTATCAGAATGCAGTCTGCATCTGTTTGTATAGATGTAAGCTGTAGAGTTAGCTGCCATATATTAACGGTGATTTACTGACTTGAGCATTTTCATGTCTTTTAGTTCATAACGATGCAGGGCAAGTCAGATATTTTGTCCTGACAGATAGGAGCAAGCACCATGACCTGGGGATTATGTAACCTGCAGGAAACCATTGTTGAATGAGTTTTTAATAAATATTTGGCTTTAGTCATTAAAGACACTAACTGTTTTAGTAGTTTTGAAGGTGAGCAAGTGTGAAGATAAAATTAAGACTCATGTTATGAAATAACTTTGGATTCACATTTGAATGTGAGCAAGTCTGATATGGAGACTTATTTCAATTTTTAATGAAGTTAATTTGGCCAGACTTATCTTGAAGGATCTGAGATACTCTCCAATTTCCCAGGCTTTGGGCCTTGTTTACACTTTGCTTCTTGAAAATTTTTCCTACCTAGAATTCAGTCTGTTTTTTGTGTTTTTTTTTGTTTTGTTTTGTTTTGCTTTGTTTTGTTTGTTTTTGTTTTGTTTTGTTTTTTTCCTTGCTAACCCATTTTCCAACTTCATAGACACGGTTTTACCATGCAGGGTTTGTCCATTTCTTCTTCTTGTTCATTAAACATTTATCCACATCTATGGGTCCTCTCTTGTATGGGTAGCATTCAGTTACATGTTGATACCAGTCTGCCTAGATGCTCATGCCAGGGTGCTGACAACGTGAGGTGGTTCTGTTAATAAAATGGAACCCTCTACCTTCTTTGATCAATTCATGATGCTGAGGTACCTGTTATTTTGAGTAATTCAATTTTTTTGTGAACCTGTCAGACACATTACACACCTCAGCTATTTTTCCGTCCCTTAATGTCTTGATTCTTTATATGTTCGTTTACATTTTCATTGTACTTTAAGTCTCTCTTACCTTATTCCCGAATCTCCAAGCTTCCATTTGGTCTACCTATTATCATCCTAGTCGTGTGCCTTCCTTGCTACGATTCCTGAAATGATTTTCCCTTGCCTCGCCAATAGAGACAAAATTCCGTACATAGGCACTAGAGACTCTGTAGCCATAGTTCTCATTATTTCCTTGTGAGTTTAAAATTATAAACAGGCTCATCTGTAAGTTAGTCCCTGAATAGATGTTGTTGGCTCTTTCTGCCTTTGTGCTGGTGTTTTCCTCTGTTTAGATTTTTAAAAATCTGCTTTTCCCTTTTCCAAACTCCAGTTTTATCTTTTCAGTTGCTCTTCCTGCTCAAGGCCTAGCATAAGTCTCCCTTTTCATAGCACCAAGAATAATTGTCTGAGAGTTAAAACATGATTCTCTTAATTTTCATACTAACTTGCTTGATGACCTTCAGCAGACCACTTACGTACCTCTATCAAATTGACTCATATTACTTGATAAACTTGTATGACATTTATAGTATTCTGAGTTCCATCATGTGTTCATATCTCACTTTTGGCTGATTGCTCTTTGGGGACTAGATCAAACTCCTATGCCCCTAATAGTGTGTTGTACGTAATTGAAGGTGACTTGGCTTTAGCGGAAGGAGTAAAATAACCAAATTTTAATTTACCAAATGAGATGGTATTGTTAGCGACTGTGGGGAGAATGGAATGGGTGAGTGAATACCAAGGCAGCATACTCTTGAGAAGAGTAAGCTCTAAGTGACAGGAAATAGGATTTTCTGGGCCTTTGAGTTACTGAATTGCTGGGTATAATCTGTTTACTGCTTGGCCTTATTATTACTTTCTTCTGTTAGAAGAGAAAATCCAATCTCATGAATAATCTAAAAGAATATTTCTAAACCATAAACATGGGTACAGATCACTTAGGGATCTTTTTAAAATGAAGACCCTGATTCACAAGGTCTGCAGTGGGGCCTGAGATTTTGCATTTCTAATACGCTCTAAGGTGGAGCCAGTACTGTAGTTTACAGGACAACAGAGTCATGTGTGCTGTTTCTTTTTCCTAATAGAATTGGGCTACTGGCTCTGCCCGCCTTTACATTTAGATTGTAGCTGTGGGAAATAATCTTGGAATTATCTGTTGCAGAGAGCATAGATCCCTTATCCATGTTTCTATGTCTGTCTAATTTGCATAAGTATGGATGGATGTGTTTCTCTTTATTTTCAGAGGAGAGAAATGACTGGATCACCGTACTATTAAATGCACTGAAGTCGCAATCCCCCTGGCAGTCTCAAGCATTGGCTGCCCCTGAGAAATGTGGATATCTTGAATTGAGAGGTTATAAAGCCAAAATTTTTACTGTGTTAAGTGGAAACAGTGTGTGGCTTTGCAAAAATGAACAGGTAAGCTGTGTTACAGTGATGCAAATCGTGGTTCCTTCTTTACATGAACAACTGTGCTTTGTTATACTTACTAATGTTTTTACTTACAGTCTTGCTTTTGCCTTGAGTGCCCCAGCTAAATGTAACAAAAGAAAGTTGTTTGGTTGAATTTTCTCAGTTCATTCAGCAGCAAGAAAATAATCTACATCAAATTGGAGGCTAGACATCACCTTTTTTAAAGGATTGAGTAAATAGAATCACTGAAAATAATTTTTAAAATGTATTCCTTAGCTGAAGTAACATTATAAAACTACACAAGAGAATAATTAAGAACCAATTAACCATTGCAGCTGTTGTTGAAATAAGCCCAGTTCTGCACCTGTTGTGTTTCTTTTGTTTTGTCACAGACAATTATAGAGTAAGCACATATTTTATGGGGTTTACAGCATTTTTGGTTTCTCTCTTTTTTTCTTTGAGCAGACGTTGCTTGCAGAGGAAATAATTTACTTGTGATTGATATGCTCACATCCACACATGTGCACATACATACACATGTATCACATATATGTATAAATAAAAGTAGACTTGTTGGCTTCATTTGATTCTGTGGACTTCTCTTTCTCTCACATATCTGGTTTTTAATATGTATAGGAAAATTCTGTCTTTACCTCATTTTGGGAATTAATTCTTTCTTAATCTTTTAGACTAGACTATATTCAATACTTAGTAATGGTGTGCTTTGGATAACTGATCTAATGTGAACTCATTTTATGATATATTATAATGGGTTGTGATAAGGTGAAATATAAATAGGGACTATTTTCATAACCAAAAATGGAGATATCAACCAAAAAAAAATTAACTAGAGATCTTTAGCCAAGGCATCCCCTGAATTTCAGTGTGAACTTATTCATTCCATTTTTTTTTTTTGGATCAGATTTCTTCGCTAATTAACTGTGGAAGGCATCACAGAGCCCTGTTGGCACATTAATTACTTGGATAGTTAGCATATTCTTCAAGAATAGTGATGTATAGCTTCGTAATGTGTATGAGCTCAATATGAACATTTTCAGTTTGTGAAGTTAGATGATTAAAACTTTTCTTATTGGAATGAAGGTTAAAAATGCATAATTTGCATGTATCAGTATAGAAGTTACTCAGCCAAATGAATACCACAAATGAGGTATTCATCTTTTGCTTGTACAGGCCTAATGGGCTTCAAATTTGTAGTTTAATCGCTTACATTAGTTAGATTGTCTGAGTTTGTTATTCTCTAGAAGTAAAATAAAATGTTTTTAAGGTTTTATTAATACTTTCTGATTAGCAAGAAGCCCCATGACATTTCTTTTCCTTTACTATTGTTTAGTAATTGAGGGTACGAAGGATAATAGCGACTGCGATTTGTTGAATACCAGGTACTGTGCTAAGGAATTTATGAACATTCCCTTTCGTCTTCCCCACAAATGGAGCAGGAAGAGATTCTCATCCATGTTTTACAGATGGGGAAAACAAGGTTTAAGTAACTTGTTTAAGGATCACAGTTCATTTTGCAGAGCTTAATTTAAAACCAGAACTTTGTAAGTCTAAACCTAGCTTCTTAGCTGATATAGCAAAATATCGTTTTAAAAAGTGTATGTTGAAAAAGCAAAAATCTGGCCTGTGACCTTTTGCAAATAGAGGAAGATTCTTTCCTTGAATAATTTAGTTGCCCAGAAGGTTCAGAGTGTGCATTTAATAAACATTATACCATATCGGTCAATCTAAAAGTGATGCACTTAGCTGGAGTACACAGTCTTATCTTCTAGGAGGAAAAGTCAGACAAGACCAGTATGTATGATGGATGGTGGTGAGCTCAGTGCTCTATTAGACTTGAGCAGGAGGTACAGAGAAGTGCAAAAAAATGGGCTTCATCTAATTAAGTCTGGGAATTAGGAACACTTCCATGTACACAAATAATGAATACATTCTCCTTAAAATTAAAGCATTAATACTGGACTGTCCCTCGTTTTATTGAGAAATAAACCTATTTTTTTCTTGCTGTATGTACATTTTAAGTCCTTTTCAATGCATTAACACACACACACACACACACACACACACACAGAGGGTGCCAAAAAATGTATACATATTTTAAGAAAGGAACAAACTGTGTTAAAATTATAATAATATGTATCGATACAAGTCATTTGTATACATTTTTTTGGCACCCCTGGTATATATCTTTAAAAAGTGCATACTATTAATTGTGCATGTGTTCTTTTTTAAAATTGCATACTACTCAGATTATATGGCGCTAGGTCTTAAGCGACTTGGTCTTGTCAAGTCTTAAACAACTAGTTGACTAAGGACTGGATGGATAAATTAAAAAAGACCCTCTATGTTCAGGCACTGACATATTCTAATTTCATTTACTTTTACATCCTAGTGTGTTTTTTTTCCACCTGAGGAAAGTTGTCCATTGGTTTCTCACATGGTTGAGCAAATTGTGTGAAGAACTTGGGTGACATGATAAATAAAGGAGTCTTTCTCCTGAATGCTTTAAGCTAGTGTTTTAGGAAAAGCACTAAAAGATAATAAAATAGTTTGATGCAACTTTTAAAAGTTTTATGCACACAACACATGAAGTAATCTTGTGTTTCTTTTAAAAGATGATGTGAAATGCGAAAAATTGCATAAAAATATAAGAGGTGTTAGATTGAACCTCTTTTTCTTAATTTGTATTGGCTCTAATTTAGTTCCATGCATCGAAGCTGAATTATTTTCATTTATTAAAAATTTAAGATAGTGAATTTATTGCCCACATCATTTATAGTATGAATAGAATTAAAAAAATAAAGAAAACTGACCTACACCACCCTAACATATGTACTATTTTCACTTTTCTTGCCTCTGTTTGTGCAGTTTCCTAATTTACTTTGGCGGTCACTCTAGGGAGAGTAGACAGACAGCAGCGAGAAGTGGAAGGATAGCAGTTATAGCATGTTGAATAGTTATCAGAAAGAACGCTTGAGAGCACATTTAGAACAAAGGAGATTGGACTGGGTGCTAGCATTTCTGGGTTTTCATTCTTGCTCTGCAATTAATTGGCTCAGGTAATTAAGTTAATCTCCTTCAGTTTAAATGGCGTCATGTGAGGAAGAGAGATGGATTACTGTCTCTTAGGCCATTATTTAAGCTGCATATTAAAATTCCAGATATCTGGGCTCATTAGACTCATGGATTTACAATATCTGGGGAGGAGGTGTTGGAATCTACATTCCTATAAAGCATCCCAGGTGACTCAGTAGCAGGTAACCCAAAAGCCACACACAGTAAAACACTGTTCTAAAGGATTTTCTTCTTTAAAAATGAGAAGCATCCAGATAAAGTGAACAAAATATTTCTGGAGTTAGAAAATGAGTAAAAATAGTCGTCAACAGCATCGAGGGCTTCTTTAGCTCATCTGTTAACTTAGGGCTGCTAATACCTCTTTTTCTGATTACGTTTCATTTGGAAGCATATCTCTTTCTTGATTGTACATTTTGAAATGTGTGACATTTAAGTGGAAAGTTAAGAAAATCATTATTCGTGGTAATACATTTTTAAATTTTGAACTGTTACTAATAAATTGTGTATGGTTCTAAACTATAGCTACTGGGTTTTTAATTTGTTTCTTGCTAAAGTCTCAATAATTTTTATATAAATTTCATATTTTCAGCTGATATATCTTATTGCATTCCTTTTCTTAACACAGACTTTTACTACCAGAGTATGCTCTGTTGGAGAAATTGAAACTCCATTTGCAAAGTCAGCGTAAAGGGAAGTGTTTGAAAACAATTTGACACTGTTACTTCCCATAAGTTCCTTTAGCTCTGAGTGTATGTCTGGAAATTTACTCTAATTTTGGAGCGTATTGTTGAACTTTTCTAGAGGTTTTTCTCTACTTCCAGTAGGGGTCCCTGAGATTCCATGTCAAGCATCCCTAAAAATATTTTTTCAGTGATTCTTTCTTTCACTTTTTCTGGAGCTGTCCCTTCTATTGAATCAAGAACTTTATATTTTCCATGTTAGAGTAACTTTTACAGCACTCTCGTAATTATTGCCTTATTTATTTTTTCTTTTTAAATGTGGCATAATATAACACGGGGGACGCCAATCTGCACATTCTCACTGGCAGTTCACTGACAGATCTAAACTCGACAGTACCGACATGAGCTTTTCCTTGTCTCAGTTGCTCCGTCCCAAGATTCACTGTTTTCATCTCTTTGTTTCCCTCTCATTCATTAGCGGACTGGAGAAACAGAAACTTGAAGTAGCTCTTGGCTGGTAGAAGAAATGCCTTAGGGGATGTTAGTTTGTTGTTTCGTTTTGTTTTGTTTCCAGATAGGCTCCAAAAAGTAGGAAAAAACTGCAAAGTAAAGACATTTGTTAGAGGCGAAGATGGCAAAGGAGAAACTGACAGTAAAATTATTTTTTTTAATTTATTTTTAATTATAGCTGACATACAATAATTATGTTAGTTTCAGGTGTACAACAGTGATTCAACATTTATATACCGATGTGATCACCATAAGTCTAGTAACCGCGTGTCACCGTACATGCAAGTAGTTATGATATTGACTGCATTCTCTATGCTGTACGCTCCATCCCTGTGACTTATTTTATAACTGGAAGTTTTGCGCCTCTTAGTCCCCTTCTCCTTTTCGGCCCATCCCCCCATCCTGCTCCCTCTGAGAAGCAGCACTTTGTTCTCTGTACCTATGAGTTTGCTACTGTTTTGTTTCATTTCTTCATTTGTTTTGTCTTTTTTTTTTTTTTAGTTGACACATATAAGTGAAATCATATGGTGTTTGTCTTTTCTTTGTTCGACTTATTTTACTTAATGTAATACAGTGTAGGTCCATCCACGTTGTTGCAAATGGCAAGATTTTGTTCTTTTGTATGGCTGAGTAATATTCCGGTGTGGATATGTGCCACATCTTTAGCCATTCATCTGTTGATGGACATCTTGGTTGCTTTTATATCTTGGCTATTTTAAATAA